AATATAAGCAAAACATAAGCTCTCCATTTGTTTGAGGACCTTCAGTTCATTGTGAAAAGGGGGTCATGCTTAGCTTGCAAACAAGGTTTTATCTTATTGATTTGTTTGTTTGTTTCTTTAATTTCTGCAGGGTTCGAATCGCCTTCAAATTTTTACTTATTTGTTTATTCATATGTTTTAGATGCCTTCTTGTGAATATTTACTCAGGAAATGATATTATTTCTCTTCATGACAAAATGGTTTTGTTTTTTTAAGAATGGACTAGCACTTTCACTCTGATTCAGCAGAAGAAGGCCTGTCTGTGTTTGGTGATGTGTTTCATTGGGCAGGAGCACAGAGTCTGAGGGATGCTAGAGCGGACATGAGCTCACCTGAGCAAATAAATCCAATGAACTGCATTTTTGCAAAAGGAGTTGAATACTCTTGCTGATGACTGGCTTTGACAAATAGCACTGTAGAGAAAAGTGCACAATTAGTTCGGTTTCTTCCCATTAGTAACTGTTAGGGGTTTTGTCAACTTAACCCAAGTTACAGACATCTAGGAAGAGAGAACTTTTCACTACTTTAAAAAGCAAAAGCTCAAAATGAGTCTAAACGTGACCAATCTGATTTTCTTTTATGAAATCATCAAAATCATTTTATCACCCTTCAAATAGATCATTACCTTGAATGTGTTAAAAATGGGTAAATCCAATGGTGATGAGGAATTAATGTTGAAGAAATGATCTGTAATCCACAGCTATTTTGACAGTCGTTATGCTATGCAAGTATTAAGCCATTTAATTCTAGCAAGTAGGCAGTACTGTGATATGCATTTTACTGCTGACCAAAACTAATGCCACACAGTGAGTTTGGAACATGACCTGAGAGGTGGGCTAAGTCTCTTATCATCAACCACACTTCTTGTTGTTGAGTTTATACATTTTATCTGATGTGGAATTTCCTTCTGTTTGCTGTGATTACCCTTAATGTTGATAGGGCAGAACAGAGCTAGGAAGATAAAACTAAGCTGAATGCTGAGAGGAAAAAGGGCTGAGTCAGGGAGATGTCATGAATCTGCCACTGGAAATAGACATGCACAAACGTTACAGGTAGGCCACAACTTCGTGTTGATATACAGATTAGTGGAGATGGGTTAAATTAATAATGTAAGAGTTAGCCAAAAACAAGTTAGAGCTAACGGGCCAAGCAGTAATTTAATTAATATAGTTTCTATTAATAACCTATTAATATAGGTTATTTTGGTTCTGGGCGGGCAAGACAAACAAGCAGCTTCCTCCAACATTCATTACTATATGTCTTTTAACTGGATAATCTAATCAATTGAAACCTTTAAAAAATAATTATGGGTAGATAAGTTCTTACCGTAGTACTTTTACCTTTTTTTGTATAGATTTATTGTAACTCATTTCTTTTTTTCTCCTTGCTTAATAGTATTCCTAAAGTTAATGATTTATTCGTTCAATGCGTTTTGATTCCTGGCTGATTATTTGGGTTTGTTGCTTCTAAAGTTTTGTTTTATGATTACTATAAAGTTTAGAGAAGAGTATATTTTATCATAACTAGCTACCATAAAATGACTGCAAATTAGCATAACCATAAAGAAAGTAAATCCAAACATAACACATTATTCTAAAATATGCTAATAAATGCAAAAATTTCTCGCCATTCCTGGCCACACTGTATATTTTTTCAGTCCTGTGTTTCTATAGTGTTTGTCTTCTGATATATTGTAACAAATATCTTAATTGATTTTGTTTTAAGCTTTCTTGCTAGTGTAAGAAAACTTCACGTACTCTATTTGTAATAGAGTATTTTTAGTGTGCTTGCATTGAAAGAGAAGTGACCCCCCAGGAGACATCTGGGTATCTCCTAGTCTTGAGAGAAGAGACTGGAGACAACAATGACTTCCAAAAAGTCACTGGGGCCTCTCCATGTCTCCAGAGAAGGGGCTGGGGGATATGCTCATCTTTTAGGTCCTCTGCATGTTTAGGATGAGTGAAGAAATGTAGTTAGGGGTAAACATGGATTTTGGTCACTTTCTGGTGTCAAAGCTTGACAGCATTGTATAAAGCATGTGGGGTGAACTTTGAGTGGAGATGACATCCAGAGATAAGACAAAAATGACTATAGGTTCAAAGTCCACAAAGAATTATTAAAAGGAAAAGCATAAACAAACACTAATCAGTCACAAGCACTGGACTAAAACCCCTTCTATGTTCTGTGTACAAACATCATGAGTTTTTAGAAAACTTTTGGAGTTTTCTAAACAAGATAGTATGGTACTTGTTAGGCAAGTACTAAGCAAAGCACTTCAGTTTTCAGATGGAGGAATTGAAACAATTGCTTTAAAGATTATTTAAATAAGCTTAAAGGTCTTCTAGAAAAGAGAGAGCTAGGTCTTGATACTCTAACAGAAGAATATTACCATGATGAAGCAATTTTTAAAATTCAAAAGCAAACCTTTGAGGTGAGCACTGCTTTGGAGTATGTCAATAGCAGACTAGATCACAGAGAAGAGTCAAGCTGTGGTGTTAGGAACTGGGTGTTTGAAAATACACAGCTGGAAGAAAAAAAAAAAGATAAACAGACAAAGAGTGTAGAATTTGGAACAGCATTGTAGATGGATTTGTAGCCGAAGGGGCCTTGAGAATGCTAATAAACTAGAAATCCCATCCAAAGAAGTTGTAACAGAAAGCCTCCTAAAGACAGAGAAGGCTACAAATATCCAAGAACAGGAAAGTCAATGATTCTTAATCATATTTAAGACACACACTTCTCTTTTTAAAAAAATCCTATAATCAAGCCTTCAAAATGGAAGGTAAAGAGAAGATCTAAAGCAGAGGAAGATTAAACAAAGCAGACATAGCAGAAACATGCATTAGAAAGTCCCAATTTTTCTCACAACAGAGGGAACCAGGAGAAAGAAAGAGAGGGTGAGAGAAACACTTCATGATGCCCCAAGGAAAATCTTCTAGCACTAATACTGTACCCACAGAGATGACATTTAGAATGAAGGACACAGAAAAGACACTGAACTAAGAATAGTGCAAGAGAAGGGGCTCCATCAGGCTACAAGAAAGACTAAAAGCTCGTCTTCACACAGCTATCAGGAGGCAATGGTGAACAAGACGGAAATGTTCTAAGGTATAAAAATCACTGACCAGAGTAACTGCATTTAAATGAAGCACGCTCTAATGCTGTAAATGTCTAACAAAGTTATATCTTTATTATGAAAGCTAAACCCCAAAAGAAATAAAAGTAAGTGCGTGAATGTCAAGAATGAACAACATAGGAGGATGTGAAGGAAAGAGCGATTCCTATGCAGTGGTAAGATTGTGGAAACTAGTTGCCAAAGAGTGGGGCTGTATTCCTTTCTGATTGTCCATGACCAGGCTAAGGTGTCATATTTTCAAAATTAATTCTTATGATCCAGGATTTATTTCTTATATGCCTCATGGTAGCTAACAGCAAAAGTTCTAACAAGAAGTGAAGCCTAAACATATAACAAAACAAACAAAGTTTTAAAGTGATTTCCATTTTTAAACTGGATTTCAAATTAATTAACAACTAATTTATGACTATTAGTTTGATATTAACATTTAGAAGCTCAGAAAATCCTGGCGCCAAATAAGAAAACTATATATTTATCTTCAAATGCATACATTTTCATTTGATATGTTCAAAAGTGGCAATGTCATGCTAAATTGAGTAAGAAATGATTATTGCTTATTCATTTCAATGAAGAAGGAAATGAGAGTCTCTGATATGAACTCAAATACACTTTATGACAGCATCTTTTGAAAAATGTCACATTGATCTAACCATTCACAGTTAAAACCAGTATAAAACTTTTATTAGTATTTCTTGATTGCTTGAATTTTAAGAAGCACACATATTTTCTTAAGTCATATTTTTTTCCCAAAGATTATTTTATAAATATGATGTGTTCCATTCATTTTTGTAATGGATGCATTTCCGGGGTGGTTGCATTTCAAGGAGTTCATCCTAAGAATGCTATCCACCAGAGAACAGTTATGCCAGCTAAATAATTTATTGGCAACTCAGCAACCATAGTAACTGATGAAATCTGTTGAGACAGGGGGAGTGAAGGGGAGTGGATGTGAAATACACTTCAAGTGTTAGAACAGAAAGTGCACACAGCAAGACAAACAAGAGCCCCGACGAAACCGTTAGACTGAATTTAATTTTCAGATTTCTAACTGAAGAAAAGACCACATAGCATTATAATTTAGGTAAAGAACATGTATATTAGACATGAATTAAAACTAAGAGGTTAAACCCCACTCCTCACCCCCCACCCCATCAAAAAAAGGACAGAACAGAAACAATAACAAAACCACTAGCATGTCAGGATCAGCATGATGACTGGGTGATGTGAGCAATACACAATACATATTGCAGCCTCTGATCTACAACTTCATGGGTAACTATCACCTAGCTCAGGCTTAATTTGCTAGATGCAAAGCTTCTTTCTAATCAAGGGGAAGGTAGAAATCCGAAAAGTAAAATAAGTTTAATAGGTTTACGTTATCAGCAATCACCACAGTGACCCAGTTTTCCTTTCTTTTCCTCTTTCAAGTAAACTGAAAATTACTCCAGTAGAATTTGTACAACAGTCCCTTAAGGCTACACATGGCTAATGCTTCTTTGGGGGCAAACGTAGCCTGAGGGATGCAGAGTTTTCAGGGTCCCTGTACGGATTTTTACATGAATATGGAGAAATGTCCTATTAGGTTGGAAGGGACCAGCCAGCAGAAGAATTGCCTGATGTGTGAAAAAAATATTTTTGCTGGTATCACGAGCTGTGTGCTGGGCGCACTGTTTATTTGGAGCCCGCTACGTGTGAAAGCTTCACCTTTTCCATTTTTAGAAAATGTGAGGCAGCAAAAAGGGTTTTGACACAGTGCAGATCCTGCATTTAATCACCTCCATGGAGGGCACCTACCGCCACTCCCCGCTCTTTTATTATTTGGACACCAGCCGTTTGCGGGAAAATATCCGATTCCGGTTTTAAAACAATAATAAGATTCTGGAAGATTAAAAAAATAAACTTCATAAAGCCATCAGCAAGTAATAGGAAGGAAGATACGCCGGAAGACCTAATGGTAACTCTAACTCTCTCTCTCTCTCTCTCTCTCTCTCTCTCTCTCTCTCTCTCTCTCTCTCTCTTTCTCCCCTCTGATAACAACTTAATATATGGGTTTAGACCACCTCTAGTTCCTTGTTAATTATTGGTAGGAGGGGAATGTACTTGTGGGATTCTGAGACAAAGGGAGGTTTTGTCTGGCAGGATGTTTCAGGTTCTCATCGCATGCGCTGTAAAATGAGACCTCTACTCCTGTCTCGGCGTTACCTTATTTCGTTTTGCATTATTATCATTTGAAAATGTAACTTTGTTTTCAAATAGGTTCGTATATACGCTAAAAGTAAATATAAATTAGAATAGTTATGGGAACATTTTCATATCACTACTTAAATAAAGCAAGAAAAAGTAGACGATAATAAAAACAAGGAGCACTGAATTTTAAAAATGCCAAACAAAAAAAGAGGAACTTCTTTTTAAGAAACTGATTATTTTATTATATGTAAGCATTTGTATTAAGTGAAGTGCTCAAATTTTTGGATTAATTAATAATTAAATTCTGTACCATCAAAATATAATAAGGTAAGATGCAATAAACAAATTTGAATGCATTAAAAGAAGTCATTTTTAAAAAAAGTTTTTGTAGATTTTCTAAATTAGGCTATAAAGACACTGCTAAATTTAGTAGCATATAATAGTGTTTTATAAGACTATATGGTTGTTGCACTTATCCCTCTAATATATACCAACTGTAATAATTAGAATAAATGCATTTGATATTATGAATAAATGTGAGATTTAGTCACTGAAACTTTGTGTGTAGTATTTAAGAATTGGTTAAGCTATCATGTATGTAGCCTATAAATAATTATCTTGGTAGGTATTCTTTATGATTTTATATCTTAATAATTTGCATATTAATTTTTATTTATGTTGATATTATAGTACAATATTACATTATTACATTACATTATTTTCTTTTTCTATCCTTCCTCTAAAACCTCATATATATATATATATCTTTCATATTTTTGCCATGTTTTTATTGTTACTACATGAATATTTATATACTGTGTATATATTGATATTCCTAAATACATAAAGAATGTTTAGTCAATTTAATGTTAATTATATTTATGTTTCCAGGACTGACCATTTGATATTTAATAATCATATTTTTGTGCTCTTCTCCGGGAAAGGCTATCTCTTCCAATCTCAGTATTCCTTGATCACCTGTATTTCTTTATGTAGGGTCAAGGCCTGTCTCATTTGCCACATCTAACTGCTATTTTACACAATGACTAAAACCATAATGTCATTGAGTCTATCAGACATGGAGACATAGAAATTTGGAATTCTCAGAACTTGTGGTCTCTATTTCATGGGGTCTGTCCCTACATTCAAATGTCATTATAAAACAAAGGTGTCAAAAAGTAAAGGCTATGGAGAACACTCCCTGCCCCTTCCTTTCAGCCACATAGATTCACACAGTGTACTGCTTTGTTGGCCTGGCAACCCGTCTTTAACAGTTATAGAGTTTGGCTTTCAATATGATGTGCTCTTTTTCAGTTCGGTGAGATTTAACTTGTTGAGATTACCTTCTCAGAGACGATTGACTTTCTATTCTAATCCATTAGACAGAACACATAGAAGATTGCAACTAATAATCGATTATCCTGATAATAGTCTCTTCAGTTAGCTTGATATTCATTTACTGTTCAGAGTCTACTATACAGTGTTAGATTTATTATGGGATTAAAGGAAATGTAAGTACATTCTCCATTATTACTTTTATTTTATTTCTCCCTTCTATATTTAGAAGAAATATATTCATTTTTTCACTTTCACATTTAAGGATCAAAACTAGGGTCTCATGAAGGCTAAACAAGCATTTTCCTACTGAATGAATCTCCACCCAAACTAGCTTTATGTAGAAAGATAATTGTCAGACCACTTCCTAGCTACCAGATCCCTGAAATTCTTACTAATGTACACAGCAAAAACGAGTCCTATCTAAAGGGTAGTTCTGGGCTAGGCAAAATTGATTCTCCTCTATGACGTGTGTGTGTGTGTGTGTGTGTGTGTGTGTGTGTGTGTGTGCTAACATCTTTCACCGTGTGTGCTTTCTATTGCATCGGTCTGTAAGTGAGGCTAGCCTAAGTTGTACAATGGTGTTAAAAAGCAAAAACAGGAAAAAAAAAAGATAATGAAAAGAAAAGGCTCAAAAGATGACCTCAACATCTGTGTTCCTCGAACAGTAAAGTTATAAAGTTTATATAATGCACATGTTCTATATCCATCACAGGACAACTTAAGCTCTGGGCCATAATTCTAAATTCAAAAAAAAAAAATTAAAACAAAAAAAGCCAGCTTCAGCTTGAGATACACTAGTCTCATGGGGGAAGGAAAGCACAAGAGACCCACCATGAGCTGCCTACCGAAGCCTTTGCTCTACAGGTGGCTGGAATCACATGCCACTGTTCCATGAATGTCAAAACACCGTGGATAAAGATGATGGAGGAGAAGTTTATCTTTGCATGGTGGTGCTTTCCTGAAGTTTGTATGTTCACAATGCTTCAGGAAAGCAAATCATAGATTGCTTTACTTAACAGATTAACATTTTACATGAATCGCACAAATCCAAACCCACTAAATTCTAATATGGTTTTGATGGCTTCAAACTATTAGTTGTGATTTTGGGGTTCATTTGGGGAAGAGGAGCGCTAGCAGGAGACCATTAGGTTCTAGAGCATTAGGTATAAATATATAAATGCTCTCCAAATGAGCCATTACTCATACTTGAATTAAATTTATTTTTAATTTATACACAAAAAGTAAAAGCATAAAATCATACATATAAACTGTAACTTAATGTTTAACTTATGGATACGTTATGAGGGGTGTAGATCAAGTAAAAGTCCCTATCTCTTTAAAGGTTTATCATTTCTTCGTGAGGAAAGCTTTCATAATCAGTTCTTGTGGATTTCTGACCTGGACAACATGTCATTGCTTTCTGCAATAACCCTTTGTGTAAGAGCAAACCAGAGCCTCTTGCTCCACGGCAAATGTAAACCCGAAACACATTGGTCAAACTCTTCCATTCCGCTCATCTGTCTGTTCACACAACTCTTGTCTGTGTGTCCACTGTTCTACACTCAGATTCCTTAGAGAGATGGTTTATGATTCAATATACAAATGGAGATGTCTGGTAAATAAAATATGAGCTGGGTTTAGAGTGAGCTTCAGAAGCTATGGTAGGAAATTTATTATAGGAAATTTTTTTTAAATGATTTTATCTACTTTCCCTCTTGGCAAACAAACTTTTAGGAAGACGACATATATTCTAGAATGATTGCAAACTGACTCGAAAATGTTCCTCGTGTCTCTTAACTGTAATGGTCACAACAGTAATATTTAGATGTTATCGTCTAAGAGAAGAGGGAAAATACTAGGTTAAAGCAAGTATGTTGAAAATGAAAGGCTTTTGGTCAAATGTGAAAACTATAAACAAAATAATTAGCTTGATTTATCTTAAAGGATTGGAAATTAATAGCTATGTTTTTCTAGAATTGCTATCAGGTTCTAGACACTTGACTTTCTCTTGATGTGGGCTCTTTTATCCTCACAACTGTTTTCTTAGTTGTACTAAGTACTTAGATGTCTCACATTTGCTATATTCAAACATGGACTAACTTGAACGCATGATGGAATTAAAATTAATTTTCTAGTAAAAAGAGACTCAATACTTTATAAAGTTTCAAAAAAAAAGATAGGAAATTATGTTGGAAAACCCCCTTCACAATAGTGTCAAAAAAATGAAAAATCAATGTTTCAATCACATCTTTAGGCATGATTAAATAAAGCATTTAGCATGTTAAGGAGTTTACGGTAGAAGATCCACATAGTCTGGAGGGTAGTGAGGATACTAAACATTCAGAAGATAGAAGCTGACATTTTATTTAAATAGAATCATAACAGTCTACACATAATACATACATACACAACATAACTGTGGATTCTACAGGGAGGGTTATGCATTTGAATCTGTAGTTTATATACTGTATATATGACAGGATATATTTGTCTTTCTTTACTTTTATTGAAATAGGTTTTTTCCTCACATAATATATTCTGTTTATAGTTTTTTCCTTCTATTACTTCTCCCAGTTCCTTTCCACTTCCCATCAAATCTGCATCCACCCAGTTTCTGTCTCTCAATAGTAAACAAATTGACTTCTTTGAATGATAATAAACTAAAATAAATTAAAACAAAAACATATTGAAATCGGACCAAAAACAAAACAAGCAAATAACAACATCTAAAACAGAAGGAAAAGAGCCTAAGAGAAGGCACAAGAATCAGAGACCCACTCATTCCCATACTCAGGAATTCCATAACAACTAAAATGGAAGTCTTAGTATATGTGTAAAGGACCTGCACAGTTAAAAAAGAAAATATATAAATAAGGTTAAAACAAAAACAAGGAAGAGCCCTCATATGCCATTTTCAGAGAAGATGCTTCCCAAGATTCCACTGAGTTCATTTTCTGTAGCCCATCTACTGCTGGGCATGCAGCGTTCCCTGTAGCGTAATTTGTTTTCCCAGTGAGACTTCCTTGGAGGAAACCTAATTTTCATTTGCGAGTGGTTTTCAGTTGGAGATAATTTCTAGGGACGTGGGTAGACTTCATCGTTCAGCTCTTGGACCCCTAACTGGTGCAAACCCATGCAGACCAGGGCATTTTCATCATATGAGTTCATATGAGCTTTGGTCATGCTGATTTAGAGGACCTTGTTGTCTTGATGTCCTCCATCCCTACTGGCTCCTACCATCTTTCTGCCTCCTCTACCGGGTTCCTTATTCCCTGAGGGGAGGGTATGATGAAGACACCCTCTTTAGGACTTAGTGCTCCAAAGTCTCTGCACTCTGCATAATGCCTAGCTGGGGGTCTCTATGTTTATTTCCATTTGCTTCTCTGATGATGACTGAGCAAGACGCTGATTTTAATTGTATAACATAACTTTATAAGGGGTCATATGATAGGATATATTTCATAAGGTTCATTTTCATGGAAATAATTTATAGCAGTCATATGATATATATGAATAAAAATTTAAAAGATAATCTTGTCAACTAAATAAATTTAATGATTTAAGCGATAGATGATTATTTCTATAACAATTTGTACATTTTATATAAATTGTTTCCCTTTAATTTTAAAAGATTTTAATAAACATTCATTATCAGTGGGGCTTCCTTTATGATCTGTCAAGGGCCTCAGATTATCCCGAATATTTGTTCCAACCAAGTTAACATCTACTGTAAGACAAACTAGGTAGTTTGGGGCACTGTTTATTATGAAGGTCTTATTTACTTTTTATATGGTCATTGTAATCTTAATGTAAAATAAAATAATGAAATGCTTTGCTTCAAGACTATTTTAAGGATGATATCTAAGGATGGTCAAAGTGCTATAGTTACTTAAGACAGATTCCACATGAAGATGTTGAGAAAATTAGACCTTTTTTTTCCATCCTCTGTTAGTAATAGTCTGATGATGGAAGCTGTATTAGGCCTTCCCAGGCCCAATGTGGCGCTGATTTGTTTTGGTGAGTTCCATACTTTGCATTTCTCATGCATTAGACTATCCCCTTAATGCAAATACCAAATGTGTAATCTAATTTCTCACTTAAAACATTTCCTGAAGAGGATTTGGTGGTGGTGCAGTTCTGTAACACCAGCTACTCTACAAGCACAGGAGAGCAGAAGACCCTCCTGTATAACTCAGTGAGATCCTCTCTCACAATTCAAGCTAAGAAAACCAAAAGATAAGCATACAGTTCAGTGTTGGAATGCTTTCTCAGTATGTGAGAGGCAACACTCAAAACCCAAAGCTGCAAAAAATGTCCTAATTAATTCAATATGTTAAATACATATTCTAAAATTAATAATAAGCAATAGGATTTAAAATTGAATACATTTAACACATTTGAATGTAATTTAAATATTGGTGGTATTAGAAATAGGATCAATCTATTGTTTCTAATCAAAACTATTTAAAATCCTGCATGATCTATAAAATTCAATGGCAACTGATAACCTTTTACTTATTCCAAGATATTACCCAAATCTTATCATCTTTTTCTTATTATAATAGACAGATGAAAAAAGGAAAGAGAGAAAAGGAGGACAAGAAATGAGGAAAGAGAAAGATGTTTTAAATTTGAAGTGAACTTTTTACCAATATTAATGCCAGTTTTCAGTGTTTCTAATAAATGTACTGCGGTTTTTAAATTAAATGGCTAGTATCAATTTCAGTTTTCAAAACTCTTAGTAAATCACTGCTTAATAAAAACAGGTTCAACGGAAAGTAGATGTTTTATTTGTTCATAGTACATCACAGCAAGAACCAGCAGACATTGTATTTGTCAAACTCACAATTCCTTTAGGGTTTCCAGGAGAATGCCAGGATCAAAGAGAAGAATGAGATAAGATAAAGAATTTTAATCTATTTGCATTAGGAATTTCCCATTTAAGTTTCACTTGTGGCTGTTATTTTACAGCAATTTAAAAAGTGTGTTCCTGAGAAATCACTACCTGACACTAATGGAGCTTCTTTTGACAGATTTTATCTTTTGTAGAAAAATTATATGGTGTGGATTTAAAAAAAAAAAACAAAAAACCTGTCAGATTGGAATAGTTACTCTGGAGCTACAGGTGCCTCTTTGGCTCGTCTAATCTTCCCCAGAGAGGTTGGGCATCTCATCTGTGCAGCATGTTTTCTGGGCTCTCCAGAGTTGTAGACAGTACATCCTGTAAAGTAAATACACCTAGCTAGAGTTAGCTAAGGTTGTAACTGGTTCCTTGAGCAACAATCTGTTTAGTAGAGTGATATTTCATCAACATTGTGAATGCACTGTGAGGCCTTTCTTAGGAAAGTAAACTGCTCTCCTTATAGTATTTACATTTTGTGTGTGTGTGAGAGAGAGTACCTGTGTTTTCTGCACTATCAGACTTAACTCATCCATTGCTATAGAGTAGGAAATTATGTTTATGGAATAGGTGTCAGCCTACTATAGTTTTTATAGTTTATAGTTCTTGTTTGTTCACAGCAGTAATATCTTGTACCACTGCCTCTATCCCATCACCCTGTTCTCTCACTATTGATAGCTTTATCTGTTTCTGGATATTCTGCACATGATCTAATCCCAGAACCTTCTTATCTATTGCTCCTTTTTGTCTTCCTGATATTTTACCAAGCTGTTCACAAAGTTCTTACTTCATATCGTAGATAAAATGTCACCAAGAGGACATCCCTATCCATGTTAGTCTTCTTTGGCCATCTTTTTCCAGCTTTTTATGTATGACAGAAGGAAGTCCACGTTTGATAAACACCTTTCTTCTATAGAGCCCCTGTTCAAGAGTCAAGAAAGACTGCCATTTTGCTATCCTAGAGAGATCTGTCTCATAAGACACTCATTTTCAGGTCAAGAGTGCAGTAGATAACCCTAGATCCTGAACATTCCTAGGAAAAAAACAAAACAAAACTATAGCATCCCTGAGATCCTACTGACACTCAGACTAAGCCCTCTTGTCCCTTTGGGGAAACTCAGGACTTACCTTATCATGGCCAGTTTCTTGTTTTAGGTCAGTCACTAAAGAGAACCCAGAAACTTCATGCCATCCCCATCCCCATCACTAAAACTAATCCCAATCCTCTAGTTCTGTCTCCTGTCTCCTCATGCCTTTCTATCCTCAAACACCTTAGTCTGCTCTCCCTTATCTTCCTTGCACCTGAAGCCTCCTGACTGCTTCTCACACCTTCTTTCAAGAGGCAGCTATTTCCTCCTCACTCCACTTAAATCATTAAGATTGGAGGTGAGATAGTGTTCTATTAGCTCCTCAGTGCCACATCCCGAGGAGCCTCTTTTGTTCTCTGAAATCCTTGTAGGTAAATCCTCACAACATGAAGAGATAGCCTTTGAATCCTGCCATTCCTCCCCCAGGCTCTATTTATTTTTATTTCTTTTTTTTTTCTTTTCCAGGCTGGATGCTAGGCAAATCCATAAGCTCAGTCTAATTCCTCCACCCCAAGATGACACTTTCCCTCCTTTGTTAAGAGCTACGCTTTTCCTTTCTGTCTTCCCCAGACTCTGCTCTTGTAATATTTTATAGTAACTTGATACCTATAAAGATAAAGACTGTGCAAGGGGCTTAGTGATATTTGTCTCTCAGATATGAGATTTTGATTTCTAACCAGAGAACTAGAAAAACACAAGGATCCAGGTAGTTGAGTCTTCATAAGCATCAGCCCTGCCACAAGACCTTTTCCCCCTTAATCCCTTCCTTGTAACAATCACATCATCTTATAAAACAAATATCTGAGAGCTGTCTAATGCAACACTAGCATTTGTCTTCAAAATTAGCATGAATTGCTTAAGTCAGTGCTTGCTTTTTTCTAATTTTATGGCATAAAAAGGGTAATAGTAAATATCTCTTGACTAAAAGAATAATTTATAGTTCTCAAAGATACATCAATAAAATTATGCTTTATTTCTCAAAATGTACAGTTAAAAGACATTTTTGGTTTTAACTGTGAAGTAGCTATTAGTTCAACACTTATAACACACTACTGATTCTTTGAACTTTGATAACGTTATGTTTAATAAGATAAGTATTTAAATCTACTGAATCTTTACTTCCTCTTTTTTGTTTTGAGCAAATTATTCTTTCTAAAAATAAAATATTAAATCTTGGATCAGATTGAAATTATTTTTATTTTATTTTCCATGTTCTTTTTATTTATTCAATGTTTTAAATATCTACAAAGTGTGCATATAGTAAAATGAAATTGCTTAAGTTTGTTTTGAACTTTTCTTTGCAAATTTTAGTAATGACTCTTATCTAACCTTTTGTCTTTAGTCGGAATAACCATAAAAATAATGAATAAAACCCTGTGTTGAAGTGAAATCCATACACTTGCTGGCAGTAACACGACGATGGCTGTTTAGCTGGGTGGTTAGTCGGAGCCTTACAGCACTGATGAAAATTCTGAACACATCATAGCATTAAAGACACATCAGTAGAGTGTGATAGGGTTGCAGCTCCTCCTCGACATGGTCAGAGCCTCAAACACAAATGATATCAAGGGACTTCAATCTGCTCAGTGAATATAAGTTGTTCACTTGCTCTCTGGAACCAGAGTGGGTGATGGCTGGAGTTGATGCCTGCCTCCTATGGCTCTTTTCCAGCATTGTCACCTTGCATTTCTATTAAAGAGATGTAAGTAGTTCAAGGTATTGCAAGGTGACTTTTGGCTTTGAGAGATCTCTATTTAAGATAAGTAAATGTTGAATTTAGACTGAATTCTAACAATGACCACATTTATTTTTGTAGGAACTTAAAATGTTCAGCATCTTAAAATAACAAGTTGGACTGAGGAAATGTGTCTCAGGCAGTAAGAACTTAAAGGAGGTAAGATTCTTTTAAAATAAATGTTTTTACATATTAAAATTCTCATAAAAATTTAGATATACTGATACATATCTTTGCAGGTAATTTAGAAGATACATTTTATAAGTTAAGAGCACTTCATTTTGTCACCAGATACTGTCCTTTGGGATGATTTGGATATTTGATAGAGTTCTAATATTTTAAAAAAAACACATTATAGGAAGGCTGCATTTTAGTTTTAGAATAAATACCCCAAAATAGATTGGTGCCATTTTTTTAATAAAAGAATTAATAAATCCTCATGCTTAGGAATTTCCCTAGGTTGGCCACTTTCCCAGGGGTTTCCTAACAGAGGTGGCTGGTGTGTAGGCAGATTGCCATTCAGAAGAAGCCTTTGGCTAGGCTGCCCTTTCTGCATTTCCTGGGGCACATATGGTTACTATCAGTCAGAACCTATCCAAAGACAGCAGGGCCAAGCACAAGGGAGCTAGTCAGTTTCTACTAACTGTTATCTTCATTTTCACTAAAGATCTGAAACTGAACAATTGCCCTTAAATCAAAGCACAGTCAGCAGTCCAGAATGTGGACAGCCTGGTTATTTGAGTCCACGTCAGCATCTTTTCAAGGTCCATTTCTCGTATAAAGTCAGGAGACAGTTTAGCAGTACTAATCTTGTGAATCTGCTTCCTGCGCATGTCGCTATTGAAAGAATGGAGAGAATGAACAAAGGAATTTAACAGTATGTGTGGATATATGTGAATGATGGTGTGTGGAGCTGGAAAGGAGAAAATGAAACAAGGACTTTATGTATGCTTCTTTCTTACCTTAAGGACCACTGAGTAAAATTAATTCATAAATTAAATTTTGATTTTTAAGTATCTAATTTTATTGGATTTCTTTGGATTTATTATTCTTAATGTGAACAAGTTAAACTTCCTTATGTATTTCATACTAATATAAATAATATATGAAACTGTGTTTGTGAAGCCAGTGTTAAAATGGCTATGTGGAAAAGCCTCTTCCATCAGCAACATGTTTGCCATGCAAGGTCCAGATTCACTAAATCACGATGTATGTTAAAATTGGTACGCTTGTAGGGATTTTGAATTCTCTTACTCAGAATATAATATATAGTATTGCCAGAGCAGTGTTGAATGTACACATGTATATGAGTTTATAAACCCATTGTTAGAATGATCTCCTTTTCATCACCCTTTCCCAGTACTAATTGCCTCGATGCTGTTTTTGTGGAGGTGCCATACTCACCAAGATTGACCTTTCAGTTCCATTTTACCAAATTGTCAGTCCCTGACTCTCTGATTATAATATCTTCAAAAGTCACAGATTTGGAGGGAATACACAAAAGATGCAATTGTCAGGCATGACTTAGATGACATTCCACATTTGTGAAAGGTAACATTGCAATGTTGTGTGGTTTGAGTGCCTGCCATTGTTGTCTTGTAGTGTTGCTCAATTATGGAGCAAATATCTAAGAATTTGAGTTCAAAAAACGCCAACAGCATGTATCAATGAGTTTCACATCACTATATATAATAATGTACATTATTGGTTTGAAAGGAGTAGAGAACAAAGTCAACTTATGAGTATCTGTAAAAGCCAAAGTATCAAAATATGACAAAAATGCCTTGAATATTAAATTGAATATCCCAAATATTAAAATATAATAGAGATCGTGCAAACCTGAATTTATGCCCTCATGTTTCAACTATTACAGGTATATATAAACCAGTATACATAAGTATAAATTGTATGGAAAATCTGGTCTACTCATTTAAAGGTGGGAGTTATGTGGCCTTCATTTCATCTATCTTTCCCCTCAACCCCCCTCTTAAAAATTACAGAAAAATATATGTATTTATCATATATAATTTGTTATTTTCCTATGTATAGATAATCCACATTTTGTATATTTTTACCACTTATGGTTGCTTTTATTATATTAATACTCACTTAACACCTATTGTTGTAGTTTTCTGAAGGAAACAACAAATGTATTCACTTTTACTTAACAGCTCCCTGAATGTTTTTCTTATACAGATTAGACTTCTCTAATAAAACAGAATGGAATGAAATCTTGGGGGAGCCTCTCCTTTTTAACAACACAGGCAAAGCTAGAGACATTATGTTAAATCAAGTAAGATAGGCACAAAAAGATAAATACTTCAGGGTTTCATTTATATAAAATATGAAAACATGTATCTCATGAGTATAATAATCATTATCAGAGGTGAAGAAGCTAGGCAATGGGTTTAAAAAGTTGAGTTCTGAAATTTTGAACAGAAGTAATCTGAAAAGGATTATTGGTGTTACCAGTAGTTATGACATATTTTGCAGGCTCAAATATTTCTATTGTTGAGAAATATATGTGTTTGAATAAAGTAAACATGGTAAGATCCATGCCGGGCGGTGGTGGTGCATGCCTTTAATCCCAGCACTCGGGAGGCAGAGGCAGGCAGATCTCTGTGAGTTCGAGGCCAGCCTGGTCTACAAGAGCTAGTTCCAGGACAGGAACCAAAAGCTACGGAGAAACCCTGTCTCAAAAATCCAATAAAAAAAAAATGGGACGATCCATGATGCTTTTTAATACATATTTCCTGACTGTGTGTTTTCTCGGATGGTTTGATGTGTTTGATAAATTCTACAGTTATTATATCAAATATCTTAATATAAAAATATTGCATACTCACTCAGAAAGGACAAAGTCATCACAGAGTCTATAGGTGAGAAAAGGAAGCCCTGAGCTGAGAAGCAAGAAAAAATACAACTCCATATCACTTCAGAAGGAAAATTAAAAATGTGTGGGTGTGAGGAGAAGGTGTAATCACAATGCTGAGATGAGAGATGGTATGCAATTGCCCTTGGGGTCAAGGTTAAAACTCCTCATTTTCAGTCCACTCCATCCAGCTTCCCTCTCTCCAAGACACACTCTCATCTCTGTTTCCCTTCAGAAAAGAGCAAACCTCCAAGAGAAGACTACCAACTAGGATAAAATGAGATAGAATTAGACAAGGGAAAAACCCTAGTATCAATAGTTGGACAAGGCAACTCAATCGGAGGAAAAGAGTCCCAAAAGCAAACAAAACCATCAGAGACACCGCTATTCCCACTATCAGGTTTCCCACCAGAATGCCAACCTAACAGTCACAGCATATACAAGAGAACCTGGTGCACCCCATGCAGACTTGCTGCTTCAGTCTCTGTGACCCCATGTGAGCCTGGCTGAGTTGATTATGAGAGTCGTGTTCTCCTGGTGTCCTCCATTCCCTCTGACTCCTATAACCTTTCTGCCCCTCTTCTGTGGGATTCCTCTAACCTCAAGAAGAGGGACCTGATAGAGATCTCCAACTTTGACTTTCTCTCTGCATGTTGTCTGGCTGAAGGTCTCTGCATCTACTCCCATCTATTATTGTAATAAGGCTGCTTGTTCGTTTCCCAGTTGCCCAGCCTTGAAATAACCACTCAGAAACTATATTAATTAAATAACTGCTTGGCCTATTAGCTCTAGTTTCTTATTTGCTAACCGTTACATCTTAGTTTAACCTATCTCTATTAATCTGAGGTCATGGCCTACCAGCAAAGTTTCAGCATGTCTGTCTCCAGTAGTAGCTCTATGACTTCTCTCTTACTCTGCCCTTCTTTCTCCCAGCATTCATTTTAGTTTTCCCTGCCTAGCTAAATTCTGCCCTGCTGTAGGTCAAAAGCAGTTTCTTTATTCACCAATGGTATTCACAGCATAAACAGGAGAATTTCACATCAATCTGATGTCAGAGGAAGACTTTTGGATGACAACTGAAAATGCCTCTGATCTATGAGTATAACTGAATATCATTTCATTTTTCCCTTCCTTCCTTCCTTCCTTCCTTCCTTCATTCCTTCCTTCCTTTGGCTGGTCATGATTGGGTTTATCCTAGTTCTGTAGGCTCTTCAGTCTCTGGTTGATGGCCATCCAAGCAGTAGAGGGAATGCGCTCACACTTGGTGCTGTGGCCCTCAGGAAGTTAAACACATTGATTGATAACTCACACACATCTGTTCCTCCATTACCCAAGGACAACTTGAGGCAGGACAGATTGTAGGTGGAAGGTTTTGGGGGTTGTTGTCCAGGTTTCTCTTTCCATAGAGTGCAGAATACCTTGGTGAACCAAAGAGACAAGAATGTAGGTGTGAAGGTACTATTCAGGCACCAACTTAACCTCTCTACGTTCACAGAGCTGTCTGGATGTTGTTGTCAGCAATAGGGCTCCTCTGTCAATTTTCAGGGAGAAACATTTCCTTGTTCCATGAGCCTGGGTTGTTTAAGAATCACCATAGGAACCCTGCAGCCAACTACTCAATCAAATGTAACACATTCCCACCACAGGAAACTTTATCCTGGCTACAGAAGATGGCCAAATCAGACTCCCTACCCTTCATGACTAGGAGTCCTTATTTTCACCTTCATAGATTCCTAGAAGTTTCCACTACACTAAATTTCTACCCCCAAAGCTCCCCAATTCCAGCTGTCTCTCCTCAAACTCTCTGCCTTCATCCTGCTCCCCTCCACACACCTGCTCCTTCCTGTTCCTTGTACTTTCTGCCCCAAGTCTACCCATAACACTTTCCCCTTCCAAATGAGGTCTACACATCCCCACTCCAGCGTATTTTTAATATTATTCACTTAACATCAGTATTTTGAAATGCATACACTTGTGTGTATGAAGATCTTACTTTTATTGCTAATACTTATTCTGCCAAGTGGTTATAATGAAATTATTTTTTTTTCCAATCTAGTGTTGGTTGATGATCAGTTTTATTTTGAGTATTTGAAAATTGATTTTCTATAAGTTATTGCAGATATGTCTTTTAGTGGGTGTGTACCTGTTTCTCTTGGAGAAAAATCCCTTAGAATACAAAGGGCACTTCCCAGAAAAAGGACTGGGAGTTGATAAATAGACAAAATATTTTAGTGAGTGTTCTTGATGGTTTGGTAAATATAACAAGACAAAGGCAACTTAAGAAGGG